TGGATGAGTGGGGGCACATACTCATAGAAGTAGCAGAATGGGGGATAGGATAAAGGGTTTCTAGGGGGAAATGGGGAAAGGGATAGCATCTGAAAGGTTAATAAATAAAATATCCAATTAAGAAAAAAGAAAAAATAGAGAAAGAAAGACAAGCTTTAACACAATGGACAGGAATACAAGAATTTCCAAGACAAAAGGGGCTAACATGATTAAGCTATATATGCCATTCTTGAAGCTTGACCAAAATGGAAATTCTGATCTCAGCCCACAGATAATTTTGTCAGCAGTATCTGCAGCATCAAATCTCAGCAGAGCAGCATTCTTTCAATTCATAATCTCACTATGCAAAGTTAAAACATCCAGAGAGGTATTAGAAATCTTTAATTTCTTTTTTAACTTCTTCACTGAACAAGTTGTCGTTGAATAGAGAATTGTCCTGTTTTTATGGGTATATGCATTTTCATTTGTTTTTGTTGTCGTTGACTGCCAGTTTTAGTCCATGGCAATCTGATAGGATGTGTAGGATTATTTTAATCTCATATCTTTTGAGATTTGTTTTGTGACTGATTATTTGGTCAATTTTTGTCAAGGTCCTGTGATGTGCTGAGAAGAAGGTATAATCTTTTGTTTTATGGTGAAACATTCTACGGATTTCTGTTAATTCCATTTGGTTCATAACCTCTATGAGTTTCACTGTGACTCTGTTTAGTTTCTGTTTCAATGACCTGTCCATTATTGAGAGTGTGGTGTTGAAGTCTCCAATTATTATTGTCTGGGATTCAATGTGTTCTATGAGTTTTAGCAAAGGTTCTTTTATGACTGTGGGTGCCCTTGCACTTTAGCATAGATATTCAGAATCGAGACTTTCTCTTGGTAGATTTTCCTTTGATAAATACAATGTGTCACTCCCCATCTGGCTTCATAACTTTTGATTGAAAGTCTGTTGGAGTGGTGTCCTGCAGCTTCTCACAGCCTGACTCCTGTCTCAGGTTGAAGTAAGAGCAGTCAAACTTCCCACTTCCTGCCTTCCTAAGTGGCACTAGGACTGTGGCTGGTCAGAAGCGGAGACCTCCCACTTAACCCAACACCTGACCACTTTCTTAGGTTTTTCATTTCATGAGTTGCCTCCAGTAATGACTTCTTTATTGCTTCTACTTCCACTTTTAGGTCTTGGAACACTTTGTTCAATTACTTCACTTGCTTTTTGATAACATTTTTCTGTATTTCTTAATGAATTTATTTGTTTCCTCATTAAGGGCTATTTATCTGTTTACCTGGATTTTTTCTGTATTTCTTTTAGTGAATTATTTATACCTTCCTTAAACAACTCTATCATCTTCATGATGTATGATTTTAGAAAGCTTCCTGATTTTAAGGTGTTTTGGTATATCCCAGGTTTGCTGTGAAGGGAAAAGCTTATTCTGGTGGTGCCAAAGAATACTGGCTTCTATTGCTTATGTCTTGTGTTTGCCTCTCACCATCTTGCCATCCATGATGTTTACTGGTCTGGGTGTCACTGTCTGGAGCCTGCTTTCTCTGTCTTTGCGTTGCTGCAGGTCTCATAGGAGACCTATTGCTCTGGCTATAGCAGACCTCCTGTGAGGCTTTCAGACTGTTGGGTCTTCAGAGACGCATGTATGCTGGTGACCTGCTCCCCTGGCTGCAGTGGCTTTCCTGGGAGGCTTTCAGACTGTGGAGTCTTCATGGTATAGACAAGTTCCTGATCTGTTGTCTTGGATGCTTTAAATCTCCAGGGAGACCTGCATACTGATGGGTTTTCAGAGGACCAGTCCAGCTGTTGCCCTGTTTGTAGCTCTTCTCTTGGGAGACATTCAGACTATGCAGTCTGTTGCCTTGTGTACAGTAGAACACCTGGGAAACTTTCATACTGTTTGGTCAGTTGCCTTGCATGCAGTGGTATTCCTAGAAGGCCTTCAGGCTATGGTGGCTATTGCTCTGGATGCATCAGAATTTCTGTGAATCCTTTATATTTGTGGTTTCTTCAGAGGATCAGGTAAGCTCGTGATCTGTCCTGGCAGAAGATGCAGGCCCAAACTTGAGTGAAAGTCTGGAGCTTAGGAGTCTCAGGGTTGATGAGTCCTGAGTATGCTGGGCTCCACGGTATTCCTACTTCCTACAGATGTTTGGGACAGTCTTTTACTGGCTGCCCTGTGTGCAGTCGAACTCTTGATAGGCTTTCAGACTGTGGTGTCTTCAGAGAAGCAGACAAACTGACAATCTTTAGAGATTGCCCTTAATCTGCCAGCTTCTCTCTGTACTGTCTTTTTCTGATACAACAAACTTTAGTTTACAAGCAAGGGAACTAAAATGTACTTATTCATCATTTACATGTCTTTGTATTTGTTCTACTTTACAATTTTCTCAGCTATTTATAAACATCTATGCAGATGTTTCTTGATGATATATTTTCCTTTTCTGCATGCACATCACCATTAATGAGGTTTCTCATTCAAGCTGTAATTTCATACTTGGTTTTGTCAAAAAAATCTAAAGTTTTAAAAAGTTAGTGTACATTTTTAATAACTATAAGATCCTTTATTTTTGATTTTTAATTCTTATACCAAGTGTAAGGCAGTTTTGTTTACATTTGAGTCAGCATCATCTGGACCTCAAAGCTCACATCTTGATAGAAGTGTTTCTTCTCTGTGAGGAAGCTGACTTGATCATTATGGATGATTATATTAAAGTGATCTTAAACACCATTTTCAAGTATTCTACAGAGAAACATTTTTAAAGTTTTATCATTTTGAACAGCTGAGTAACATTATATTTTATAAATTGCCAGGAGCCATCATAGAGAAGCTAAAAAATGGCAGGTAATCTTCCTGAGATGGTTCTACTATGGACTGTAAATCTATGATAGATTTGATTCTATAGGTAAGGCTGAGAAGGTTATATTTGAGGAGAGATTTTTGACATTAATTTGATTTCAAGTTATTATTAAATATATACTAAAGTAGATATACATGGCTGACATTTGAGGATGGAATAACCTACACATCTCAAAACTTTGAAACCAGAATTGTTCCTGCCTAAAGGAAATGTAGAGAGCAAAATGGAGTAGAAGCTGAAGGAAAGACCATCTAGAAACCATCAATCATAAAGTCCATTCCATTCACAGACATCAAACCCTAACACTACTGATTATGCAAAGATGTGTTTACAGAGAGGAACCTGGTATGACTGTCTTTTAAGAAGTTCTGCCAGTATCTGATTAACAGCAATGTAGTTGCTCACAGCCAACCATTGGACCAAGCCTGGGAAACATAATGGAAGAGTTATGGGAAGGGCTGAAGGAGATGAATGGGATTGCAAATACATTGGAAGAACAACAGTATTAATTAACCAGAACCCTCAAATCTCTCAGCGACAAAACTATCAACCAAAGTGTACAGATGGGCTGGTTCATGGCTCCAGCTACATTTGTACCAATGAAATTTCTTATGTAGCATCAGTGGGAGAAGAAGCAGAGTTGGTGCTGTGGAAACTTGATTCACCAGAGAAGAGGGATTGCAGAGGGGTGAGGTGGGAGTGAGTGGATGGGTGGAGAAGCACTCTTGTAAATACAAAGTGGAGGGCAATCATGTGAGGAATTTGTGCAGGGGAAACTGGGAAGACAGATAACTTTTAAAATATGAACTAATAAAATAATTAAGAAAAAAAGATTCAGTGTATTTGGTTTATGTTGAGGTCTTTGATACATTTGGACTTGAGCATTGTGCAAGGTGGATCTATTTTCATTCTCCTACATACAGACCCCTAGTTAGATCATAACCATTTATTGAAGATTTTTTCAAGCCATAAATGCTACATGGTTAGAAAAAACATGAAACTGCATTACAAAAGGAGATGAGAGTCTTGTCTGGTTGGTATCAATACAGAGAATGCTAGTGCTTTTGATTATGTTGATTATAAACTATTAGATGGCCTGAAGGAAATCTAGAGAATTTGATGATATCAAGATAACAGAAAAAAATAAGTTTTATTTCTGATCCTGCCTCAACATTTAAAGCTATAACCTTGTTTATAATCCTGTAGCCCAGCATCTTTGTAGTTTTGCCACCTACATTCCTCTCCTTCTCTACTTTATCTTATGAAGGTCACAGATGTGTCATGCTATGTCTTCATGACTTAGGATCTTGCTTTTGCATTTTCATTATCAATTCTTCCATATTACATGGATAATATTGCTAATACACCTCCATATAGAGTGGAGCCTGGTTGTACTGACTGCAAACCTAGCTAATCTTGCTAGGAATGATTCATTATCTCATTTATAAATTTGAAATTTGTGCAGAGTCTGCAGTGATTGTTAACCCATAAAATCTTTTGAGAAAATATTTAAAGAAAAATTTTTATTCAGAATGCAAGCAGTTAGAATGGCTCCAACTTTTCTATTTGTACAAATAAATCAAATTATGCTTCCTAAAAAATAAGGGGAAGTCTAGCTAAAAATGCCTTAAAATATAAAAAAATCTATGAAATTCAGGTACAAAGAGACTCATTGTAACCGAGTGTTGACATAGCAAAGAAGACATAAAGTATTAGAGTCAAGTATCTTTCAATATTTTTACTACGTTAAATGTGTAGGCTTTCTTTGAAAAATGCATATACTTGTGCACAGATAACATGAAAACTAAAACTCTCCTTACATGTGTTTTAATTGGAATAGACAACAAAAAAATTAGCTTCTCTTCATATTTTCTGTAAATTTATTATGCACTGTACACATACACACACATACACACACACGAACATAATCTTGGGAATGTAATTTTGGCAAACAGCTATAAATAAGTTTGACAAATAAAGTTTAGACTATCTACACCAGAATCTCTGAAATGGTATAATAGTTTTTGCAATTAAACTTTCTAGATTCTGTGTTATTAAAAAACAGATTTGTCCAACATTGTATATTCAATTATAGTTGATTGTGCAAGTACAACATTTATCAGATAATTGTACCAAATCATTCTTAGGAAAATGGCAAACAGCAGTTGAACTATACTCTCGAACAACTGGCATCATTTTTGAGTGCTCTGTTTTTTGGTGGGACAGAGATATTAAGCTCAACAATGAGAATTTGTTTCCTTCTCTTGATGAGGCACCCACACATCACAGGTAAGGACATAGGTGATGATGCACAGCATTCTTGTAAGATTCTAAGAAGATGCAGATGGTATCCTGAACGTTGTTACCCAAAATCTCATTATGTAAATTTCTGTTCCATTGGCTTTAATGGAAATGATCACTGAATGAAATGAAGAGACCTTAGCTGTTGAAAAGTCCATTAAGTCTTGTAATTTGTCTGAGTTGTCAGACAGGTGATATGTGGTAAGCACCTTGGACATACATTGGGCCACGGTTGCATAATGTTTTCATCCCCAAATTGAGGCCCTCAGAGCAGGTGAATTCTTGCAGTTGCCTTCTTCATTGTGATAAATTTAATTCTGGGGTAGATAAAAGAAAACTCATCTCTTTAAAGCATAAAATATACCCCATTACTTATTATTTCCTGAAAATATATTTTGTTGTGTGAAGCATTTTAAATTTTTGGTTCATGCTCAATTTATTGTCTTTGATATCAAGTTTATGTTGTTAAATCTATAGCATAGAGAGTTTATCAAGTTCAATAAAAATTCTGTTGTATTTTCCAAATATATCAAAAGTTTCATTTTACAAATAACAGTATTGTAAAATTTTATGTGTAAATAGAACCAGGTAGTCAACATTAATAAAACACACCTTCCATCCTGTGTCAATAACCACTGAAATGACAATAGCATAATTATGAGACAGAATTAGGTCATTTAGTGTAGGAATACAAGACAAGAGTCAACAACTGAATCCTTTATAGCTATAATACAATAGTAATGAAGATGGAGGGGCACAAAGATCCTAGAATATGATGTAGGAACATATGCTTGAAGAGTTTCTATAGAATAAGAAAAGCATACTGTACCTCTCCATTGTCCCAAAGGGTCCCTCTTTGCATCTAAAAATTTTAAGTAGAAAACTAGGTGAGAAACCTCAGGTTGCTCTGCCCACTGTTTCCTTAATTACTTCATACTTCAAGTGAGAGATAACCACAAAGAAAACACATTAATACTTTAAAAAGTCAACAGAAATACATGTGTAAAAGAACATTGAATGGTTGATAGGGAAAGAATAACATAGAGAATTAAAGAGGAGAACTGGCAATGTTGAATAGAGTCTCAGAGCTCTTTTCTCCAACCTTTCATGAATATCAACTGCTAGTCTACCACCCAGAATGTAATGCACTATAAACATCTCTGAGTTTTGAATAGACAATTTTTCCAAACATACATTGGAAATAACAAAATAAAGAGCAGAATGTAAACAATAGAAAGAAAGCACAAATATGTTCAGGTTCACACCCAATCTACACTTAAAATTTTGACACTACTCCAAAATTCTCAAGAGCACCTGATGATTGTCTTCTACATTGAAAAGTATAATAAAGAAACAGATTTCCAACCATAAATTTTGCTCCCTATGTTGTTTTCTTTATCAAACCTTGTAGGAGTTTTCTATTCAATTGTCTAAAGTAACTTTGCAGGAAACAATTAACTCCAGATACCTGGATCACCCATGAGAGAAGATGACATTTTCATAGACTGTTCTAGGCACTAGAATTAGAAAGCCCAAGATTTCTTATTCACCTGGTGGATGTTGCAGGAATGAACAGATGATGAGGGACAACACAGAAGCAATGGGTCTTCTCATGTCTTCATTAAGTGCACATTTATTCTGGGAGCTGAAACAACCATTTGAATACATAGAAGTAATTCTAAACCATAAAGAGGAAAATTACAAACTAAAGTGAACATCATGCATAAATCAAAATGTATATCAATAATGTAAACTGACTCTAATATTGGAGATAAGTAATCACATTTATATATCTGCAGTTCTTTCCACAATTTGTCTATACTACTAAATATGTTAATCTAAAAATGACGCATGTATGTGTACTCATGTGTGTATAGTATGTATGTTTGTTCATTATCTCCTTGCAGATATGTATTTATAAATAAGATATAGACTACCTGATTTCTTCTTTTCTGCGACCCTTGTCTCAATAAATGGTGTGTATGATTGAGTACAAAAAAACAGTTATTGTTTAAAATACAAATATATTTCTATGTACTTGTTGTTGATGAACCTGCCCACTAATAGTAAAAATAAAATAAGTAGAATAAAATTGCACGAAGACCCTCAGATACATAATTTTAAAATCAATACTACATATAATTTTCATTTTAATAACTTATTTCTTATATCTTTTATCAATGTCAACAATGTCAAATTAATTGTACTCTATTTTATTGTTACAAATATTTATTATATCTCAGGCTATTTGATACTGTGGATGAAAACACTTAGCATAATATAATGATTAATATTTGTTATGTGATATGATAATCATATAAATATAAATTACAATAATTCAATTCATGTAAGTTTACTCTTCAGCTTGAAATGTTTGTTTGAAATACTACTGGGCCACTTTATTCATGGCCTAGGTTGCTGTGCCTTAAAGCGAGAAACAGGGTACAATTTTCCTATTCAAATATTTGATATTGCTTATATCCAGCTAAAGTCCAGGAAGAGATTGACCATGTGATTGGGAGGCATCGCAGCCCCTGTATGCAGGACAGGAGGCACATGCCCTACACAAATGCCATGGTACATGAAGTTAAGAGATTCATTGACTTTGCTCCACTTAGTGTGGTGCATGAAGTGATCTGTGACACTAAATTCAGAAACTACTTCATACCCAAGGTAAGTTTCAATGTGGTTCCAGTATTCTCCATCACATTGCTGCTGCAGATTGCTTATGATGGTTGATAATTAGGAAAGCAGCTCTAAGCAGGCAGGGACATAGTAGTAGCAATTCCACAATTTTTTACCTCTTCTAAAAAATATTAGATGAAAATAAGTTGTTTATAATTTCGGGTATATTTTCCAATTTGCGTTGAACTCACCAAAACTCTTTTTGAAGTTTTTATTATTTAGAGGAAAATCTATAAATAATTAGAAGGAGTTTATATACTTAATTCTTCAACTTATGAAAAAAGCTACATTAAATCTTGACTTGTTTTTGGTTTAGTCACAATAATTTATTTTTAATGATATAGTGTGTATATAGTTTTTTTTAGTTTAACAGAATAATGAATACTTTTTGTTACCATTTTTTAAACCTGATGCATAGAAATGACATAATTATCATGTGATCATACTTTTTCTAATCTCATGTATTTAACTAGTCATTGATGTTTTCTCAGAAAATCCATGCAGAATTCAAGATGACGTCTGGTTAACACTTTATCTATACTTTTATTTTCATATGTTTGCACTTCATTATCATTAAATTATTATTGACCCAATTGATGAATTTCAGAAAGCATTAATTTATATTGCTATTAATGTCTAAAATTGTGAAAATAAAATGTTTACAGGAGTATATAAGGACACTTGAAATATGTGCACATGTAGAGAATACAAAGCATTACACAAACTGAAAATATAATTTATATTATTAATTTATGATTCATTTGGAGAAATTATGAGGTTGACATAAATATTATGAGGAAAAGAGGACTGAGTAATAAACAGGTACAACTGATATATGGGTGTATTCATATAATTCCTAATCAATATAACTAATATTTCTCTGTCAAATTCAAAGACTGAACAATTTGGAAAATTATTTGAGTAGATTAAGTTTTAGCCAAGAGACCTTTCTGAGATATAGTTAATGTTTCTAAGTATTGATGTTTATGTACAGTATGCCAACACTTAAACTATATCATTATTGATAAATAAATGTTAAAAAAAAAAGACTGAAAAATGAAGAATGGCTTATGACCCAGATCCCTCCACCATGAGGGATGGTGGAATCTAAGTTTGGAACATGAAATTAGGGAAATGGCAGCCTTCACATAGTCACAAATAATATAAAATACTTTGGTGTGCTTCTAACCAAGCAAGTGAAAGATCTATATGACTAGAACATCAAGTCTCTGAAGAAAGAATTCAACAATCTCAGAAAAATGAAAGATCTCCCAGGCTCATGGATTGTTTCCATAATTTCTCTCTCATCCTGTTTATACTTTGACTAGAGGAATATTACTGATTTGTTTCAGATAATTTTATATTCAGACACTTAAGTATACTATCAAATCATCTGCAAAGAATGATATTTTGACTTTTTCCTTTCCAATTTATATTCATTTGACCTCTGTTCCTTTACTAATTGCTCTGGGTAGGATTTTCAGTACTATATTGAATAGGTAGGGAAAGAGTGGGTAGCCTTGCTTATTGTCTGATTTTAGTGGGATTGCTTCAAGTTTTGTTCCATTTAGTTTGATGTTAGCTTCTAGTTTGCTGGATATTGCTTTTACTATGTTTAGTTATGGGCCTTTAATTTGTGGTCTTTCCAAGACATTTATCATGAAGGGGTTTTGAATTTTTTCAAATGTTTTCTCAGCATCTAGTGAGATGATCATGCGGTTTTTTTCTTTGAGTTTGTTTATATAGTGGGTTACATTGATGGATTTCCATATAATGAAAAATCCAAGCATATCAGAAAAAAATGTTTGAGAGCCTAGGTCATCAGGGAAATGCAGATCAAAACAACCCTGAGATTCCACCTCAAACCAGTCAGAATAGATAAGATCAAAACTCAGTTGACTGCAGATGGTGGCTAGCATATAGAGAAAGTAGAATGCTCTTCCATTTTTGGTGGAGTTTAAAGCTAGTACAACTGCTGTGGAAATCAGTCAGACAATTTCTTAGAAAATTGCATATAGTACTACCTGAGGACCAAGCTATACCAATCTTGGGCATATACCCAAATGGTGCTCCTATGTATAACAAGGACACATGCCCCACTGTGTTCATAGCCACCTTATTTATAATAGACAGAAGCTGGAAAGAACATAGAAGTCCTTAAACAGAGAAATGGACACAGAAAATATGGTATATTTACACAATGGAGTACTAAACAACTATTAAAAACAATTACTTCATGAAATAATGAGGCAAATGGTTGGGACTCAAAAATACCTTCCTGAGTGAGATAGCCCAGTCACAAAAAATACACATAGTATGCACTCAATGATAAGTAGATATTAGCAGAAAAGTTTGGAATATACAAGATACAATTCATAGACCACATGAAGCTCAAGATGAAGGAAGACTAAAGTTTGGATTCTTCGGTCCTTCTTAGAATGAGGAACAAAGTACAGGAGGAAATACAGAAACAAAATGTGGAGCAAAAACTGCAGGAAAGGCCATCCAGAGACTGCCTCACCTGGGGATATAACCCATATACAGTCACCAAACCAAGACACTATTTTGGAGGCCATGAAGTACATGCTGATAGGAGCCTGATGGAGCTGTCTCCTGAGAGGCTCTTCCAGAGCCTGACAAATATAGAGTCAGAAGCTCACAGCCAACCATTGGACTGAGCATGTGGTCCCCAAAGGAGGAGTTAGAGATAGGACTGAAGGAGCTAAAGGGGTTTTAAACCCCATATAAAAAAACACCCATATCAACCAATCAGAGCCTACAGAGCTCAAAGGGACTAAGCACCAATGAAAGTGTACACACGGAGGGACCCATGGCTCTAAGTGCATATATAGCAGGGTATAGTCATTTCAGTAATCAATAGGAGAAGTGGCCCTTGGTCTTGAAGGCTGGATGCCCCAGTGTTGGGGAATGTCAGGGCAAAGAGGCAGGAGTGGGTGGGTGGGTAGGGGAACACTCTCATAGAAGCATGTGGAAGAGAATGGGATAGGGACTTTCCAGGGGAAAACCAGGAAATGGGATAACATTTGAAATGTAAATAAAGAAAATATCCATTAAAATAAAAAGAAATAATAGAAATATTCAACATCCTTATCCATCAGGAAAATGCAATTCAAAATACGTTGAGGTTCCATCTTATACCTGTCACAATAGGTATGATCAATTTCATAAGTGACAGTTAATGCTGGACAGGATGTGACACAATGGGAACACTCTGGTATTGCTGTTGGGAGTGCAATCTGACACATTAAGATAATTTAATTGAAATGAATACATCAGTTCCTCAGAAACTTGGATCAATCTCTTTCAAGACTCAGTTTTTCTACTTTCAGTCATATACCTAAAAGATGATCCATCCTAGCACAAGGATATTTGTGCAATTATATTCATAGTGGCTTTATTCAAAATAGCCAGAAACAGGAAACAACCTAGATGACCCTCAACTAAAAAAATGGATAAAGAACTTGTGATACACTTACATATTGGGTTATTAATCAGCTGTTACAAAAATTATATCATAAAATTTTCAGGCAAATGGATGGAACTTGAATCATCCTGAGTGAGATAACCCTGAGAGATAAACATGGTATGTACTAACTTATCAGTGGATAATAGCTATTAAGTAAATGATAATCATGAGACAATCCACAGACCATGACAGGTTATATTACAAGGGGGATGAAACAAAAGTGTAGAGGAGCAGATGACCTCAATTGGTTAGTGTTTGGAAGTGTTTGTGGAAATCTAGTGCAATGGAAACTCCATGGAATATAAAAAGGGGAACCCTAGAGAGGACTCCTAGTATTAGGAGACAAGAAGCCTGAACTATACATTTATTGTCACCAGACAAGGATTCCAAATGTGGGACTAGGACACCTCAGCAGGCATAAAATTTTCCACCTAAAATTTGCCCTTCCTGGAAAATGTTCTGGAGTAATGACAACTCAGAACTTATGAGACTAACCAACCACTGACCGGTGTAAATTGAGTCTCATATCAAGTCAGGGGGCATAGGCCAGACACTGACTTGATGTAAGTGGCTAAGAATTGAATATTGAACATCCTAGTGACTCATAGAAGAGATGAAACCAACTTGCAAAAAAATCATTTAAATTATTTCTAATTATATTCTGCTATATTAGTGCCTACTCAAGTCAACAAAGGGGATTATTAAGGCAGTGGATTGGGGAAGAGGCAGAGACGCACAGCCAGATATTATGTAGAGCTTGGGAAACACCACCAGAGAAGGTGAGGTAAAATTGGTGGAGACAGAGAGGATGAAGACACCAGGAGAACATGATACATAGAATCAACTAAATGGGGCTTATAGGTACTTAAAGAGATAGTAGATATAACCTTAGAGCCTGCATGGTCTGCACTAGGTACTCTGAAAATACATTATGGTTGATAGGATTGGTCTAGTAGTACCAATAACAGTGGTAGTGAGGTGTGCCTCTCTTTTCGTTGCTCTTCTTAGTAAGAACTTTTTTGCTTATTAAGTTTCCTTGTTATGCTTTAACATGAAGGCTTATGCCTAGTCTTATTAGACCTTGTTGTAACATGTTCAATTGATATTCTTGAGGAGGAGGCATTTTTTGGTTTTTGGCTTTATTTATTCATTTATTTATTTATTTTTTGAAGACAATAAGCAGGACAGTGGATCTTGAATAAAAAGGAGTTTAACAAATAAAATTAGAGGAGTTGAGAAAAGGGAGGACCCTGTCAGAGTGTATTGTATGAAGGAAGAATAAATACAAAAATGGGAAAAGAAGTTATATTGCATCCTATGATAATTTCTTTCCTTCCATAGTCTTCCTTCTGTTTGTATATTTGCATGTGTCTTTATATGCATACACTCTGTGTGTGTGAGCAAACTCTTACATTCATAGCATGTAAAACCTAAATTATGTTAATGATGAAAAATAAGTAAAAAAAAAAAGTCTGTCTAGACCTTGCTTATTTACCAACATGAATGACTTCCTATTTGTTTGACATAGAAAACAAGTCTCCATTAGAAATCATGACCTATGTGACCAATGAAACTCAGTTGACAAACTAGAGCAGCAGGTGTTGAGACAACCTGCAGGAAAAGAGAAAAGAGTCAGCAGCATTTGTACCAAATGCCCAATGCAGACTTCAAGTATCACTAAAGGCACCTTACTCACACCATTGTGGCTAATATCAGATTCCTCCCTGTTCCTTGAATTATTTGTCTCTTGAAATTTTCCTAGTATTTTTGTACCTCTTCTATGGAGGAAAAGGTGAATAATGTTTAGCACTCTGATATATTTGCACATTGCTTTTTCTGTTGTGTCTTGTTTGCAGGGAACAAAGGTAATAATATCACTGAAATCAGTGCTGCATGACAGCAAGGAGTTCCCCAACCCAGAGACGTTTGACCCTGGCCACTTTCTAGATGAGAATGGAAACTTTAAGAAAAGTGACTACTTCATGCCTTTCTCAGCAGGTAATAGGAACTCATTCTCAGTGCTCCAGTGGGGACTTATAAGTGGCTCCCAATTGCTAGTCAACTTCTATTTTTTTTAAAAAAATTATTGATCATTTCACAAATTTACATCTCAAATGATATCCCATTTCCTGGTTAGCCCCTCCAACAACCCCCAAATGCATGATATTCCACTTCCTGGTTACTCCTCCTTGACCACCTCATGCCACATTTTGTGCATGATCAGCAGCATTACTCCCAGTGTCTATGCACTATCCTTGATAATGATGATGCCTTTTCCTAGACAGAATAAAATATTTATGCTATCCTAGCAATTCTAGTGGTTATGCATTTGAAATTCTTTTATGTACATCTTGGGGATGCAAAAGGCATTATCCTAAAGAATAAATGTCACTTAGCCTTTGATGATCACCATTAAGATCAAGATTCAACCATATTTTGAATGTATATCTTTGTGTGTCACTCTCCTCCAGGCTCAACTATACAGAAAAATCTTAAAAACTATTTTATTAAAAAATAAAATAAATAAAATAAAAACATCAGAAATGCTCTTATAGGCATAAAGTCCATGTAAGGAAGGGGATGAGCAATTAGGCTGATACAGTTGGTCTTGTGGTTGGAGAGAATTACAAGAAGAACAAGCATCCTCTTTGGGAGAATGCTCCACAATTTTTGCTTTCCAATATCTCAGTTAAAATGCAAAAGTGATTCATCATTATGATAGATAAATTTCTACCTTCCACAAAGAACCATGAGTGTAGAATAAAATGAATGATATTTTTAGATCTCATTTTTTATTGTTTTAGTTTCATACATGTATACAAGGTCTTCAATCAAAACCACCCCAATATTTCAACACAACCATCACACTTCCATAACACATGATCAGAAAATTTCTTTTTCTCCAATTTTGTACACCTTAAAATTCCAGAGTGCACTATGTCCTCTATACTCTTATTGGTTTAGTGACAACCTCTGGAGAGTCAGTAACCCACAGATGAATAATTGATGAATAAACCTGGCTTTCCCTCTTAGTAACCTGTAGCTTCCAGTAATTCTTTATTAGGACTGAGGCTTTGTTAGCACATTCTCAGTCATTGTTGGAACTTTGGCTAGTGTTTGACATTCTTACAAAAATAATAAAAGTAAAAATAATAATAATAAACAATGACTCAGCAATGAAGAGAACATGCAGCTATTGCCATAAATCTCAGTAAAATGCCTAGCACCTACCTTGGGTACTAAAATCCACCTGTATTTCCTCTTTCAGGCAACCTTGAAGAGTCTTCTGATCTTCCTAAATAGCTAACATTGACATTCACTCACCCATATATGCAAACACTATGCATATTTATTTGTATAAAAGAAGATAAGATAATAAAACACAGATAGACAATACTTTCTAGGTACAGATGTAAGAAACTTCCAGGTCACCATGAGATCATGGAAACTTGTGATTGGGGCAGATATTCTGGGCTTCCCTGCTGCTCCACCTATAAGGATACTTTTCATGAATATCACATCTCCATACCTAAATTGTGTGTGTAGGCTTTTGACATGGATGCATGTTCATTCATCAAGTGATTTTGATATCTAATTCATAAAATATCTCCTTGAGCCTGTTGTCTTTCGTGTCAATACCATCTTGATTTTATTACTATAACTCTGGAGTACAATTTGAGGTTAGAGATAGTTATATCTCTGTGAATTTTTTATCATTGAGGAATGTTTTAGCTATCAGGGTGTTTTGTGTTTCTCTATATCAAGTTGAAAATTCTTCATTGTGTTGGAATTTTAAAGAGAATGGTGGTGAACTGTAGATTGCTTTTGGTAGGAAAACCAATTTCCACTCTATCAATCCTACTGATCTGTGCGCATTGGGAAATCTTTTCATCTTCTGATTTCTTCTTCAATTTATTTCTTCAATATCTTTATTTTTTGTCTTTTAAGTCTTTCACTTCACTGTTCAGATTTACTCTAATATGTTTTTTGTTTTAATATAGTAAAATATACTGTTACTCTAATTTCTATCTCAATACAGTTATCAGTTGTATATAGAAATCCTGTTGATTTTTGTGTAAGTTTGTATGCAGATACTTTCCTTAAAGATTTATCATCTGTTGAATTACCTAGTAGAGATTTAAGAGTTTTATAGATACAGTCTTATCATTTGCAGTTAAGGATATTTTGAAATATTCCTTTCCTACTTGAATTGCATTGATTTATGTATGTCAAATCATCTCTTCATCTTTATGATGAAGCCTACTTGATAATCTTTTTGAGAATTCTAGTATTGTGTTAACAAGCATTTTTACTGAAAGTTGTTACATCTATGATTGTAAGACAATTTAGTTTGTAATTCTCTTTTATATTTGGGTATGTAGGTGGTTTAGGCATCTGGGTAATTGTGACCTCATAACATAAATTATGCAGTTTATTTTTTTCTATTTTGAAGAATAGTTTTGGGATTATTGGCTTTAAACTGGTACAATTCATTGCTGAATCCCTCTGACCTTTGTCTTGTTTTGATAGGAGGTGTTTAATTATTGCTTCTCTTTCACTGTAAGTCTGAAGGTTGATTTAAGTTTTGTAGGTGATGTAAATGAAGAACTTATGACTTTCTCTTAGTTTTTCCAATTTGGTGGTGTCAATATTTTTATAGTATTCCTATAAAATTCTCTGAATTTCCTCACTTTGTATTTTCATATCCTATTCTCAACTCTAATTTTATTAACTTGGATTAACTTCATCTTTTAGTTAATTTTGTAAAGGATTTATCAGTCTTGTTGTTTTTCAAAGAGGGAACAATTCCTTTCATTGATTTTTTTTTTATTTCTTTGCTCTTGCTGTTTCTATTTTTTGGTGATTTTAGCCCTGAGTTTGAATGTTTCTTCAAATTTACATCTTCTGCATAGTATTTCTTCTTTTTTGGCTAGAGTTTTCAGATATGCATATAGTTAATATAAGACATAGCACTCCACTCCCCTCCCCTATCTCTATTGTTCTCTTTTTTTTGATGCACAAGCCTATGACTTTGCCATTTAGGAGTGACTTTATTATGTATCATTGGTTTATCTGATCCTGATTTAACTTTGGTACCTGGTATCTGTCTAGAAAATTTCCCATTTCATCCAGATTTTTTAGTTTTGTTGAGTATAGGCTTTTCCAGTAGGATCTGATGATTTTTTTTAATTTCCTCAATTTCTGTTATTACGTCTTCCTTTTCAGTTCTGATTTTATTAATTTCAATACTGTCTCTGTGCCCTCTGGTTAGTCTGGCTAAGGTTTATCTATTTTCTTGATTTTCTCAATGATCCAGCTCTAGATTTTGTTGATTCTTTGTATAATTCTTTTGTTTCTACTTGGTTAACTTCAGCCCTGAGTCATTGGTTTGAGTTTTCATTATCATTCCAAATTTTTATGGGCTACTCCATTTGCTTACATTTCACATGTTATCTCCCTTTTTTGGTTTCCCCTCTGTACCCCTCCTATCACATACTCCATCCCACTGCTTCTATAAGGGTTCTCCCCCCACCAACCCACCCACCAACTCCTGCCTTGCAGCTCTAGTATTTCCCTATGCTGGGGCATCAAGCATTTATAGGACCAAGGGCCTCTTCGCCAATTGATGCCAGATAAGTACATCCTCTGCTGCATATACACCTGGAGTCCTGGGACCCTCCAGGTGTATTTTGTGATTGGTAGCTTAGTACCTAGGACCGCTGCAGGTGGGGGTCTATTTGGTTGATATTGTTATTCTTCCTGTGGGGTTGTAAACCCCTTCAGTTCCTTCAGTTCTTCTTCTAACTCCACTAAAGGGCTTTCATGCTCTGTCAGATGGTTGGCTGACAGCATCTGCATCTGTATTGTTCAGACTCTGGCAGAGCCTCTCAGATACAGCTATATCAGACACTTGTCAGCATGCACTTCTTGGCATCAGCAAAAGTGACTTGGTATGGTGGCTGTATATGGGACATATCCCCAAGTGGGGCAGTCTCTGGACGGCCTTTCCTTCATTCTCTGCTCCATTCTTTTTTCATGTATTTCCATTAGACAGGAGAAATTTTGGGTTAAATATTTGATATGGGTGGGTGGCCCCATCCCTCATGTGGTGGCTGTGCCTAATCTCTGAATAAGGCCTCTAAGGTTCTCTCTCCCCTTTGTTGGGTATTTCAGCTAATGTCATCCCTGTTTGGTCATGGTAGCCTCTTCCTTTCCTGGCATTGAGGACTTTCAAGTTTCTCATCCCTCATTGCTATACCTCTTTTCAATTTCCTGATATTCCGTACCTCTCGGCTGTTTCCTCCCACATCTGATCGGGCCCCCTTTTCTCTTCACTCTTCTTTCTTCCTTGCAAGTCACCCCTACCCTCTACCTCCAGTGATTATTTTGTTCCCCCTTGTAATTAGGACATAAGCATCCATACTTCAGTCTTCTTTCTTCTTGAGCTTCATATGGTCTGTGAGTTTTATTGTAAATATTCCAAGCTTTTTGCCTAATATATACTTATCAGAGAGGACATACCATGTGTGTTCTTTTGTGTCTGGGTTATCTCACTCAGAATATTTTCTAGATCCATCCATTTGGCAGCACATTTTATGAAGTCATTGTTTTTAATAGAGGAATAGTACTCCATTGTGTAAATGTACCATATAATTTCTTGCTTTATATGTTTTTCTCTCAGTATTGTCTTGTTCAATTTCTAAGACTTTCAAAACCTTCTGTGGTTTCTGTTGTTGTTGATATCCAACTTTAATCCAAGGATATTACATGGTTTCCAAGGTGCTGTTTTAATTTTTTTATGTTTGTTCAGACATGATTTGTTTCCAAGTATGTGTTCACTTTTGAATAAAGTTCCCTGAGCTTCTGAGAACAAAGTATATATTTGATATTAAATTGAAATATTTGTGAATATCTGCTAGTTTCATTTGATTTATACTGTCATTTATCTTCAACATTTCTGTTTGGATTATATCCGGGTGACCTGTCTTCAACAATATATTTCTTAACATCTTATGTTAGCAAAAAAAAAAAAAAAGAAGCCTTACCATTGTCTATTTGCTTAAGTAATTGTCCATAAAACAACCAATACATCTAACCATTCATCCATTAACTCATTCAAATTTATTCTCTTATGTCAGTTACAAACACTGCCTCTTGAAGTCATTTATGTATAAGGTATAATTACCTTCTTTCACTCTTTATTTCCCATAGGAAAACGAGTGTGTGTGGGAGAGAGCCTTGCCTGCATGGAGCTTTTTCTATTCCTGACCACTATTTTACAGAATTTCAAACTGAAATCTCTGGATGACCCAAAGAACATTGATACAGCACCAGTATGTTCTGGACTTGTTTCAGTGCCTCCCACTTTCCAGATGTGCTTCATTCCTGTCTAATGAAGACCACTAAACAAAAATGAGGATGAGGAAAGCTCCTGCTGTGATGTTTTCTGAAATCACCCACAGAAGCCTTCATTCACCATGTCTCAGAAATGCAATTGAGTATTTCTCCATTCTCATAGCTTCTCTTCTCTAATTGCCCAAGGATATCAGTTCTCCATTACACAGTTTCTGAAGTCAATGAAAAATATCATGAAGGAAAAAACTCACTGCAAATAAAAGGGTTCTGTAATTATCTGCTTCTAAATCCATTTTGAGAGCCCGTAAGGGAAAAAAGAACAAAGACAGAGCTCTGATCTCCACATATGCCTTTAGAGCTTTGTACACACACACACACACACACACACACACACACACACATACACACACAGCCTATTCTCTTCCCCTGTAAATACATATGGGAAAGAATTTATTGGTGAGGAAGACATGAGAAATCTCTTTAACTAGGCATCTCCTAAAGTAACTAGAATTGTTTATATTTTAAACATATAACTGTAATCAGGAGTAGCTTCAGACTGTACAAAAACAAGGGTGTAATACACTGTCTGGGTGAGTCCACTCTCGCTTTGTCGTTACCCAAATCAAAATTAAAACATTTAAAATCTGTTTTAAAATGAAGAGGAATATTAAGTTTGTCTCCCATCTTAAACCTGAGCAAGTGTTTCACTTTCATATTGCTTACTTTGTCTCTAAACTCCTCTGTCCATTCCAGCAAGAATAACAGTCACAGGAAGTATCACATTTTATCATTGTTAGTTGATTAATCCCTTCCCACATCATTGAATGTTAATAAATGAAAATACATTTAAAAAGGTAAATCTATTAGAAAATGCAAGAATCATGAAATCAGCACAGTTACTTAACACAGTTCCAGAAAAGATGTTCAGATTGCTACAATCTCTGTTTTGATGTCTCTTTCTTTGGATTCTGGTTTCTGCATGTTGCATTCTTGAGAACTTTCTGCATTATGATTTTTGTGTCTTTTTCTCAGAAAATTATATCTTAGTCTTTTTAGGAAAACTCTAAAATTAACTTTATCTGGCCATTTTATGATCAATTCTTGGTAATCCCAGAAGAACACCAGGAATTGCAAGTCTGGTGTAAAAACAGTGAATCTCTATTACAGCAGTCAGAATCAGATTGCAAGCCTTCTTCTGTATACAGTCTTGGAATGAGATATTCATGTCCAGGGGCTTGGAATATGTGTGTTTGTGTGTGTGTGTGTGTGTGTATTTTTGATGGTTATGAACTCACCCACTCTGTGCACCGCGGTGGCAGCACTCCCCGGAGCCACTGGCGAACTGCAGCTGAAAGGAAAGAACTCATGCGTGCATGAAGAGGTGGCAGGATCCCTGGTGCAGTGGCACAGGGACCCAGCACAGCCCACTGACAGCAACTGAGTCCCCAGAGCAGCAGCAGAGGCAGCCCGCAGGGGTGCGGCAGCACAGGGAGCCCACAAACGATTGCTGCAGAAGAGGGAGCCCCGTGGAACACTGTTGAAGGGGAGGGAGTCCCACGGGCTGCTGCGGTGGGGGAGTGGAGAAGCTTCTCTCACAGGTGAGTTTCCCACTTACACAAGAAAGTCCAAAGTTCCAGAAGACACGTGGAATCCAAGATGAAAGTTTATTGGCCATGATGATAGTTGTATCTAGATGATGTGCACTCCCGACAAATGTCAGGAGGAGCTCCCTTATATTGGGGAGTGGGAAGAGGAGGAGCTAGGAAGGGGAAAACTTAGTTAGCTATGTCTCCTGGCCTTTAGATTGAGGCAGAGGCCTGTTAGTCATGCCCTCTACCTGTGCCTTATATGACTGACCATATAGGTGAAATGGAGATCTCTGGGTTTTGGAGGCATGGTCAAACACCCCAGGGTGTCCTCTACAGCCTGACATCCCACTCTCTTTTCTTTCATGAAAGAAGGGGCATCTCTGAAAGTGTAGGTCATAGGAGATATATGTAGCCCAAATGTGGGGGTGTTACTCCCATGTGACCAATGACTGTGGGCCTCTGTGGGAGGGACTGTGGAGGGATGAAGCTGAGAGAGCCAGAGGCCTAGGAAGAGCCTGAATGCCTTCAGTCCTAGTGGTTACCCAGTGGTCCATGCAGTCATCCAGGGGTCCAGGGGTCCAGGGTTCTTAAGCACATTCTACCAGGCACCCAGCCTCTTCTCATAGTTTGCCACCCACAATTCCCTCTCTTAGGAGAGGTGTCATCTGTAGTGAAAATTTTGGATGAGGAAGTCAAAAGAAAACACTACGCAGGCCAAAATGTAGCATAACCAAGCCAAGGGTATTGGGAATTGAGGGTTGGGTTGAGAAAGCAAGGAATCATTGAATCAATTAAATACATGTTGTACAATTTGAGGGTAATGATATCTGATTAATCTAAATAGACATTATCTTTTCTTCACTAACATGTTACTTTAGCTATGTAACTTTGGGAAGAGTTCATCTGCAGCTGAAAGGCCTGGATCTGTCTTCCATCTCAGCATGTGTTTCTGTGTCTTAGTGAGCATCTCTGGGTCTTCAGTCAGATGAGAGGGCTGGGAGAAGGCACCCTGGCAGGTTCCAGGAGGCGGTCCTGTCTCTGGATCTCAGGGTTAGCGTGTCTCTCGAGTCTGCAGTCAGATGAAATGCCTGGGCAGGAGGCAGCTTGGTATCTCAGGCAGGTTCCAGAAGATGGTGTTGTCTCTGATGGATCTGTGGGTATAATCACAGGGAAGCAGCATCTCCAGCAGGGAGATGCCTGGAAAGCCTGGATATTGAGCATTAAATTACTTGGCAGCATTTACATCCTGGAAAGGGAAAGTTATTTTAGGAAATTTTAGTCCTGGAAGGTATCTTTGAGTCTGTTTTTGAATGGCTGAAGGACAAAAACATTGTGTTAATCATGTAACTGGGATAGGCAGCAACACTTTGTCTGTGAAAGGAAATTGGTTGTTAATTAAAAGCTGAAAGATGGTGATCAGCATGTTGATTTAACCTGTGGAAGTAGATTTAGATGACTTTTGAACCTTGAAGAAATTTTAAATGGTTGAAGAAAGTGTTGGGCATATATCATGAGTATTAGAGAGAATAGGAAATATTAAAACAAAAGGCAAAAATTTTGGTTTAAAATCATGAACATTGTTGTTTTAGAAGTTCCTGTTAGGGAAAAAGGAAACATTTAAATAAAAACAAGAAAATTTTGGGTTGAGAAGCACAAACATTGTTGTAGGTATTCCTGTTTGGGAGAATAACATTAATGGAGGGTTGTGGTGCGCTGCCGCGCATGCGTAGTCTCCCTCCTGAAATCGCTATTAAACACCAGTAAGGCAAATGCCTGAGCAGCCGGTAACTGTCAAAAACTGACGCAGCCTGACGTGTCATATCTGCCGAGATGCATCAGCCAATAGAGTAGGGACACGCCGACCCGATGGGTATATAAGGAGAGCTCCTCTTCCCCTCGGGGTCTTTCCTCATTTTCATTGGAATAAAGCTTGCTGCAGAAGGATCCTGGTGTCCGAGTCCGTTCTTGCTGGCGAGAAGGTGACGCAGGTCACAGTTGGTGCCGAAACCCGGGAACAGGCTGAAACATCGCCAGGAACCGAGGGAGACCCTCCGGTCGCGGAGTGGATTCAGAACTGCAGACAAAGGTAAGCTCTGAGAGGCATGTTTGGCCTTGATCTATTTCGTCTCCCTCCCCAGGCGGTGCTCGTTCTCTTCCTTCTGGTTTTGCAGGATGAGAAAAGCCGCTCTACTGTAGCGGCGGGCCAGGGAGTGCTAGACGAATTACAGGGCACCATGTAGGAAACAGAGCAGGATAATTGCTTAGGAGCGCAGAAAAAAAAGGGAGCTCAGAAAGAAAAAGGAAAAAAAGGCATGCCTAAGAAAACAGACCCTTCCAAAGACGTTCAGTCCGTGGAAGTGAGAGGTAAGGGAAAGGACACCCTTGGGAGAGACGTGCACGAAGGGGGCGGAGGCCTCAGAAAGAAATCTCTTTATCAGGTAAAGGAGCTGGAGGCCTCGGGTCTTGGTGGCTCAGAGTCGGAGGAGCTAACTTCCTCTGAAGAGGAAAGAGCTGCTTCAGATGGGAAGAGCAAGGTTAGAAAGAATTGGAAAATTAAGAAAGCAGGGTACTGAGGTGTTACAATAGCTGCCTGCTACATCTCCAATGAACGAGATGAAAAGGTACATCTTGAATATGAGAGAGAGAGAAAGGGTTTTAGAAAAACAGTTGTCCTCTCTCTGAGCTGTGTCAACAAAAAAGAATGAAAAGGCTACTTCAGAGCTCATCTAGAAAAAGAAAGAAATTCGGGAGACGTCCTGAATTTCTCTTTATTTAGCTCTTAGATGTCCTTTGTTGTCTGTCCTTGGCGCGCCAATGTCCACGTGTGTCGATTGTTTGTTTTTTGTTTCGTTGTCTAAGTGTATGTTCTATGTTGCATGTTCAAAAGACAAAAACGGTTACATATCCAACTCTTGGTCTAGTTTAACTTTGTTTTAAAGGCAGTCTTAATATACACAGCAGAGGCTGATAAGCTACCCTACACCTGTAGCTAAGAGTTGAGCTGAGCTGAAAAAGCCTTTCCAGGAATTGACTGTTGGCATAAGCTGCTTTTAAAAGAAACCAATAGCTTTTTGGGTTTTATAAAGAAGCTAAGAGTTGTTTTGTCCTAGAAAAGTCTCGGTGACAAGGTGCTTTTCTCTTGAAATTACAGCTAGAAAAGGCAACAAATTTTGTTTGTTCTAAATATATAAGATGCATAGCCACTTCATTGTTGTTTCTGATTGGTTTTAAAAGTATAAAAATGTTCAAAATTATTGGGTGTGATTAGAAATTTACAACTTTGGTAACAGAAAGTTGGTGTAAAACTAACTCAGTGTTATAGTCATTCAGAAACCAGAAACCAGTATCTCTTCAATGAGATATTAAAAGCTGCTTCATCAAAAGAAACTCAAAATTATAGTTAAACTGCCAGTATTCCATTGGCTACAGTTGGCAGTTCAACTGTGAGTTTGGAATTCTTTGACTCATCCATGTTTATGGTTGAGAAGAGGATAGAGGAGAGTTGCCTATTTTGTCAGGAGGAGATTACTTGATTTGGAGCTCAGATTGGAGTAACACTAGTAAAATCATAGTGCCATGATGAATGCTCAGGCAGGCATGTAGACTGGGATATTAACATGCTTCTAGGAGAAGGTCAGTGTGAAGGCAATGTTAATCAGGTTGAACTGCCTACACAGCTCTCAGACCATACAAGCAGACTTAGATACATTCGTCTTTGCGATGAAATTGCACCCTCATACAATCAGGGTCTGGCCACAGCTTGCACAGAACCGTAAAGTAAAAAGATGTTTTAAATGAAGAAATTTAGATAGTTTTTAAAGTGACTGTCCCAGGAACAAAGGCTTGAGCAACAGTCAGGTGACCAAGGTTACATGACAAACTTGTCCTTGGTGCAGGAAGGATAATCTTTGGGCCAGACCTCAGGATATAGGCCAAGATTAAAAACATTTACATTTGAATTAAGGCTATGTACAGAGTGGGTGCGGCAGGAGCTTGTATTTCAGACATTCCTTTTGTCCTGACCTGCCTCTAAAAGGGTGTTTTCTAGAATTTGTTTATTGCCTTGTTTTTTCCTTAGGGAGGTGTCAGCCTCAGACTCAAAAGAAATTCAAAACAGCTTATGGGCCAGGAGTTAGAGATAATGATTATGCTGGAGGAATTAAAATTGAGCTTGTTTCCCTCCATGGCATTATAGCTGTGCCTGTTAACAAAATAATTGCTCTAGAGTAAGAGAAGACAAGATTGGCTTTTATCTGATATTCTCACTCAGCTAAAAGAAATTGGTTATTCAATTAATCCAAAACAAGTTCAAACTTAAGATTTATAAAACTGATGGGACACTACAGCCTGACTTGCCTACTCCTGCTGCCATTCAAGTTAATGCATATAACATTATTATAGATTTAGAGGATTGTTTTATACAGTTCCTTTACCTCCTGGTAAAGGTGAGAGGTTTACATTAAGTGAATTTGCTTGTGATTTTTGAGAGCCCATGAAGCCATTCATTAAAAAAGCTTGCCTCAAAGAATGATTAATGGCCTAAAAAAATTTGTTGTTGCTTTAATACAAAAGTTAAACATTTAAATCTCTCAGTGTATATTATTCATTGTATATTTTGTTAGCTGATCTCTTTAAAGGAGTTTTTCTGTACGCCTTTGCCCTAATACAATGAGCTTTAAATTTTAGAGTCCTTATCACTCCAGAAAAGATTCAAAGACAATATCTTTTCAGTATTTGGGAACTTAGTTATATCTTAAGCAGATTGTGACACAGAAAATTCCAATAAGAATGGATAATTGGGGCTAGACAGATGGTTCCGCCGTTAAAGGCTAGACTCACAATCAAAAATATTAAGAGTTCAATTCCCAGCAACCACATGGTGGCTCACAACCATTTGTAGTGGGATCTAGTGCCATCTCCTTGCTTGGAGGTGTACATACAAAAAAATGGTTTACTTTTAATGATTCTCAAAAGTTATTAAGAAATTAATTGGCTAAAACCTCATCTTCAGCTTACCATAGGAGAACGTAAACCTCTGTTTAATATTCTCAAGGGAGATGCAAGTCCTAATTCCCCTTGACAATTAACTGATGAAAGAGGAACAGCTTTGCTAAGAGTAGAGTAAGCTGTTAGTTATCGACAGATACAGTATATAGACTATGATAAATTGTTGGCTGTTTGCATTATTGCTACTCATGTACTCACAACAGCCCTTTGGCAATACAAACACAGTTTAATTTAACCAGCTTACACTTCTCAAAAGTTTGGACAATTTTGTCGCCAAACAAGGCATTATAGAAAGGGCTCATCGCACTCTTAAGTCTTATCTAATAAAACAAAAAGGAGAAGTCGAGGAGGCTCTACCCTCAGTGCCACAAGTCACCGTTTCTATAGCACTTTTTACCCTCAAATTTTAAAAAAATCTGGACAGTCAGGGCCATTCAGCTGCTGACCGTCACTGTTTAGAGCCTGACAGGCCAAAAGAGATGGTCAAATGGAAGGATGTCTTGACCGGAAAATGGAAAGGCCCGGATCCTATTTTAATAAGAGCCAGGGGAGCGGTTTGTGTTTTTCCGCAGGAAGAAGACAACAATTTTGGCTACCAGAGCGACTGACGCGACGACTCACGATATTAGAAGATGACACCCAGGCAGATCCTCCAAACTCTGATGACAGCCCTCGTGCTGATCCAAGGGATACAGGTTCCTAGTATATCGGGGGAACAATGATGGGCCATATTATCTGCCTTTCCAAAACCCTTACCAGTCAGATATAATGTAGCTAATCTGTCCAGGAAATTGTTTCAATATCTTGCAGGAAATTGGTCGGAAAACTTCGATGAGACACTCAAAAAATTGAGAGTGGCTATGGTGGCCATCAACTCAACGCGCGTGGATCTGTCCCTGACTGAGGGACTCTCCTCCTGGATCTCTTCAGCTTTCTCTTTCTTTAAAGAGTGGGTGGGAGTGGGACTTTTTGGAGCTATTTTGTGCCTGGGTCTGGCGGGTACCCTTTTTCTGCTGTGTAGGATGAGAGCTCAACGACAGAGAGATAGGGTGGTGGTGGCTCAGGCCTTTGCAGCCTTAGAAAATGGTGACTCTATCGGCATCTGGATGTCCATGCTCAGGGACTAACATCGATAGCCCCCATACTATTCTTGCCCATGAGGTCTCTGTTCCATGATAAGGGCTGGTATGTCAATGACGGAGTGTCAAGTAAGACTCGGTCCACCTAAGACAGGGCAATCTCGGGTGGGGAGATCGACCCAGTGACAGGTAAGGATTTGAGCATTGCTCTCCTTTGCAGGCTCAGTACCATCATGAGGCCTCAAACGAAAGGGGCTACAGAACCTCCCCAAGAATCACCCATGCAGGGTCTCAGCTTCTGCACCTGGAGTGCCTTTGTCCATTGCACCCAGTGAAGTGAGACCTTCTGCTCCAATTAATATTTAAAACAGGGGGAGATGTGGTGCGCTGCCGCGCATGCGTAGTCTCCCTCCTGAAATCGCCATTAAACACCAGTAAGGCAAATGCCTGAGCAGCCGGTAACTGTCAAAAACTGACGCAGCCTGACGTGTCATATCTGCCGAGAAGCATCAGCCAATAGAGTAGGGACACGCCGACCCGATGGGTATATAAGGAGAGCTCCTCTTCCCCTCGGGGTCTTTCCTCATTTTCATTGGAAGGATCCTGGTGTCTGAGTCCGTTCTTACTGGCGAGAAGGTGACGCGGGCCACAGAGGGTTTAGAAGCAGTGGGAGAGGGACCTGTCCTGCCATGTGGTAGCTGGGTGCTTTAGCAGAGAAGCCAGAGTATTCCCCCCCCTTTTTTTTTTAGTAGTATTAAATGTAGAGAAAGAGAAGAAAGGCCAACTTTGAAGAAAAACTCAAAGCAAGAAACACAGGGGTTTGATACGAGAGTCAGGAAGAGTGAGATTCTGTCTGAGCCATGGGAGGGAGTCCCATGGGCTACTGCAGCAGTGGAGCCCAGAGGCTTTTTTTGCAGGCGAGTTTCCCACTTACACAAGAAAGTCCAAAGTTCCAGGAGACATGTGGAATCCAAGATGAAAGTTTATTGGCCATGATGATAGTTGTATCTAGATGATGTGCACTCCTGACAAATGCCAGGAAGAGCTCCCTTATATTGGGGAGTGGGAAGAGGAGGAGCTAGGAAGGGGAAAACTTAGTTAGCTATGTCTCCTGACCTTTAGATTGAGGCAGAGGCCTGTTAGTCATGCCCTCTACCTGTGTCTTACGTGACTGACCATATAGGTGAAATGGAGATCTCTGGGTTCTGGGGCGTGGTCAAACACCCCAGGATGTCCTCTACTGCCTGACATATATGATGGATGGATGTATATGTCTGCATATATATATATATATATATATATATATATATATATATATATATAAATTCAGCACAAGGCTGGGCCCTCTTCAAAGGTCAGTACCACCTACGAAAGAGGGAAGGAAAGAGCTTTATCTTCTCTAGACCCCTGTGGCAGAGAAGTACAGGGGCAGGCTCCCTGTGTCTCTTCATTCCCACCTCTGCTGTTAACTTCAGAGGCCAATTGTGAATTCTCTGAAACCTTGATTGTCTGTCCTAACTGGTTCATATTGGGATCTTATTATTATCAGTTGAATAATTTCTAGTCTCTGTTTCATATATTGAAAAAATTTATTGATTATGCATGGCCCAAAAGTGAAGAATGGTAAAATGATGATCTGGGGTCCTACGATTGTGAAGATGAAGGTTATTAGCCAAGGAGAAGAATCGAATAGTGAATGATACCAGCCTTTGGAATTCTCTCGTTCCCTTTGGCATCTATCTATACTTTCTCAAACTTTAGCTAATGACTCCCTAATAACTTCAGAATAGTTGACATAGAAACAACACTCTTGACAAAAAGCGTTGCATAACCCTTCTTGTTATAGGAATACTAAGTCTAATCCCACTCTGTTTTGCAGTACAACCTCAGCCAGAGAGTATTTCACTCCAGGTGTGAGATGGACTTTTCCAGGCATTGAATGTCATCATCTATGTTTGCCATTAAGCTATTGTAATTTTTTCCTTTCTAGAATTCTTTTCCTTTTCCCCACTTAGGATCTTTCTACTTTTCCTCTTAGATAGCTTTCATAGGAAATATTAAACACTTAGTAATAAACTCTATAATCACTTCTCTAAGTGTCTTTTCTTCCTGTGACTTCACACTAGCAGGTGTAAGTTAAAGTCCAGCAGTTCCTGCTGAGATAGTACAAAGGCTATTTACTTAATCCTTTGCTTTTTTTAGGAAGAGGTGGTAAGAGCCAGAAACTGCAGTTTCTGGCCTCAGATGATCACAGAAGGCAGGTCAGCTACAGTAGTATAGTAACTTAGATAAGTAAAATTTTATTATGCAGCAACTTTAAATATGTCATAAGACAAAGTTTTACCCCCCCCACCCCATGCTGACACTCTTTTCCTTTTGCTGCCTCACGAAGAACTGACAAGAAGAAAGAAGATCATTTCCACCGAGCCTGGGGTGACCCTCAGCAGCCAGGTAACCTTGGTTTCTGTTGCTTATGTTCTTGCGATTGCCTTTCACCATCTGGTTATTTCTAGTGCTACCTGCACTCACTATTTATGATTGGAGCCTGTCTTTCCTGTTATCTTGGTTGTATCAGAACTCCTCAGAGTCCAGCTGTATTTGTGATCCTGTGATCCTGAGATCCTGGTGGTGCGAGCTTCTGTGAGTTAGGCTGCTCTGGGATCATGAAATCCTGATGTGATAAATCTCCTGAGATCCTGGGATCTTATGATCCTATATTCCTGGGTGTGTTAGAAATCCTAGGAGTCCAGCCTCCTCTGGGTTTTGGGGGATTGGGTACAGAGTTAGTGCCCTAGGACTGCTCAGAGCACAGGCACAGACTAGAAGGAGACTGAGAGTTTTTATAGTTAAAGCACAATTAAATCATTCATTTTGTCATTGCTACATGTCAACCTGTCACATAGGATCCCAGCCAATATATCAAACCACTAAAACTACTAAGTGACTGTTGGTAGCTTTTATTGTCACAAATATTCTTTCAATTTTAAGAGACTATTTTCTTTCTAAACTAAAATATTCCTTCTTGATTATATGATGGTGTGTGCAATTGTTGAAAAGAAGCCAATAATGTTGCATAGTAGAAGATTGACCTAATAGTAATAGTCCACCTTTCTAGAAGAGAATATGGTACTTTATAATAAAAGAGTTCTGTGGATATCATTGATGAAATCAATGAGTATGAAGATAACAGGGTTGAGCAACCCTAGCATTTGTCCTTCTCTTTTGCTATTTTTATAGCAAAGGACTCAGATATTCCTTCCACATGTTCTTTCCATGATGAAGGTAGGATCACAAGGTGAGCCTGAGGAATTGGAAACAATTGTAAACTATCAGGAAAATATATCAAAAGGACACTTTACCCTTGAGAAGATTTAAGGTACTTTACAAGTTTTAAGCAGTAACTTCTTAATCATTAATATATTAACAGTCAAATAGTAAGCTATTGAAGAGTCAGCAATGATCTTAATTTTAATCCTGAGCAAGCACTCATTCTCAATAGTGAAGCAATATGCAGAATATGTAGGTACATACATATGTATTCTGCATATATATATATATATATATATATATATATATATATATATATATTCTGCATATTTAGATTTATATATAGAACTCTCAATTTTGTATAAATAATTATAAGCATTTTATATTCTAGCAATAAAGTGTAAGTAAAATTATTTTAGATTCATGAAATAGAAGGAACAACTCAAAAACCAGGACACATCATTGTTACATGGAAGAAAACATAATATCAACTATAAATATGACATAATATGTGTAGCAGTTAGGTCTGGTTATGACTCCCAGCCCCCTGCTCCCAGAAATAAGACTCAGACTCAGAGTATATTTACAAATCCCTTGGCCATATAGCTGGCATCTTCTTTTATGAGATATAACTTAAAATATCCCATTTATTCTAGCCTACACTTTGTCAACATGGCAGGCTATTTATACACAGGTATCATCTATCCATCTTGACACAACATCCCAACCAATCTCCCACCTGACTCTATCCCAGAATTCTTCCCCTCCTGGCTGTCTCACCTTCCATTTCCTGTCTAATCCATAAGACATAGGCTTTTTAATTGATAGGTGATACATCCATACAATATACAAGATATTCTCTCAACAATTCCCTTTTTAGTCCTCTATAAGGTTATTTTCTTTCAAATATAAATTGAATACAATTATGAAACAATAATGAAAACTATAAGGTATGCTATACATTTTCAGTTTACTCTATTTGGCTGCCTAAATACTGTCTTGGTGAGTTGAGAGTTCTATATATAAATATAAATATAAATATAAATCTTTCTACATCTAAATAATTTTCTATTTTAACTTGTATTATTAACCTAAAACATCTTCTTAGACTTATAACATCTTAAATCTTAAACAACTTATGCTTATAATAAGATTATGACTATCTAGCCTTGGACCACATCAGAGACCTGAGAAGAAATACTTATTACCTGAATATGCAGGAAGTGCAGGGATACAGCTTTCAAAAATTATACAAATCACAGAGACAGCTGATTACCTAGACAGGGAATATTGCCTCTATAACTTTGAAGTATTCAACTTCAACCTTCTGACCTAGGATACCTGACAGTTTTTATGTGAACCAGGAATTATGAAGGACTTACTTGCTCTCTCACAGCAGAGCTTTGCAGTTGACTTCCCTTGATCTATTTGTCATTCCTAGACATATTTGTCTATAGTTGAAGTATGGGCATTTTCTTTGTCCGGTTGCTAGCTGGCCACAAATTAAGAAACTCCATATGGATGCTACTGATGCTCATCATCAACTTTGAAGTGAAATGAGGTACTGTCAGGAGCAAGCCTGTCTCACAGTAAAAGAATTTTTTAAAGAATGAAATAATTACAAATGCCATATCATACTTCTATCCAAGGTTTTTGCAGACCATCTATCTATAATATATTTGAATAATCAAACATTATATGTTTTTAGCTATGTATTATCCCTTTAATCCAGAATATATAATTTTGTGATTATCCAAACTAGTATTGAAGCTCACTATAAGATTGATTGATTCACTATTAACTTGTATTATTGATTATCCTAAATAGCTTGTAATAGCAGCTATTTAAAAGTCTGGGACTAAATATGGTATTTTTAAATGAGTTGCATAGGCATAATACCCACATAATAGATGAGACATACATTTTTATGCTATACCAAGATTAATATTAAATATCATATCAATATACAAAAATTTATATCAATAAAAACTTAAAGTGACTATTGTCAGGGCTGCATTTATGGTAGTTTTTTTCTTGTGAAGTTTTAGAGATAATATATTTCTATACTAATATAATATTTGGAATGTACAATATACACAGATCAGTTAAAGATGAATTATTTTCTTCTTGCTGGAGCAGGTTAAAGACAACTGTCTTTATGAGTTAGTTTGATCATAAAATCAAGCTGTAATATATATGTCCATTCAATGTCATAGTAATGTATGACACAATGAAGCTTGATGACTCTCTAGTCCACACAATCCATTGGGTATGTATAACTGAATTTCTGGCTAGAGAACATTTTTTTTTTAATGTCTCAGCCAGTTTTAGGGCTGTTCCCATGTAAAAGGATCATTGACCCAGGTTACCTTTCTTGTTTGGTTTTTATTTCTTTTTTCTTGTCTACAGCCAAGAACTGTAGGGAGTCTTCCTCTATCAAATCTGATCCTGATTAATTTGGAAGCAATCCAAAGCCTTTTCTTCTTTCCTGTTAACACAAACTTATAGTCTTTCTCCCAAAATAGCATATCCTTGATCCTGTAGCCTGAAGTCTTCAAAAGTATAGGTTGATTCAATCTTGCAGTCCATTTTAAACTTAGACCTGTTCTATTTTGACCTCTTTCATTAGAGAACTTGCAATACCACCACAACCATAAAACTTAAAATAACCATCATTTTGATAATTAAAAAAATTAAAATAACTTAATACTATTATTATTTATTGAGACAGGGTTTCACTGTGCAAGACAGGGTGACTTGGATTTCTTCTGTAGATTAGACCGGCCTCAAACTCACATGGAACCTATGAGTTCCTGCCTTTGTCTCCCAAGCATTGAGATCAATGGCATAGGCATATGTATTTATCTATTATTTATGTACCTTTGAAAATATTTATAACAATTCTATTTCTTTCTCCATTCTTTGAAGGTCAATATCTATGTGAATAAATTTACCTATATTCCCTTTCTCTTTATATAAATTTAAGATGGATATATTTACTTTTTAAATTACTAAAAACATTTCCATTTTTAAGCAAACCCTACATAGTATCATTAAGGAAAAAATATGTCACTTTGAATTTTAGACTGTCCTGAGGAAGTGGCTTAATCTATCAGTAAAGTGTTTCACCCAGATTTTATTGTGTAAATTGAACTGATCTTGAATTACTAGAGATCTACCTATCTCTTTTTCCTGTATCTCCTGATATTTAGCTCAGATTCTGTGTTATGCCTGGACTTGTCCCATGTATGTTCACAGAGACATTTCTACCTCCAGACTAATTCTAGCTACAACAGTCAACCTATGGCTGCATTTCCACATGTCATGAAAGCAGAGCATTAATTCCTATAGGACAGGATTGGTTACTCCTGCCATGCCAAGCTTCGGATAACCTGAAGTGGCAAATACCACATCTGTGGCATCTAGAAAATCAATATGGGTTTTGCAATCTGCTACTTCACTGGCTACATTCAGCCTGCTGGTGAACCAGAGCTGGTTCCTCCCTCTTGGCTGCTGCTATACTCTGCACTTGGAGAATTTTTAAACTCCTATGTTCAACTTTTAAATTATTAGGACGCTTCTTTAAAAAGGAGCTGTCATACTATCTCTCCCTGGGTTCCTACTCTTTCACTAGGAAAACCTCAATCTAAGTCATTTGTCTTGTGTTGTTCTGGGATGTTTTCTGATGCTTTTGTTCTGCTAGCCTGACTTTTCCCACTTTTTATCTGGGTGTTTTTTCAGCTCTTAGCTTGGGTTTTAATGTTTCACATTGGGCAACATTTTGTACAAATTTGACCTAGTTCTGCTTCTAAGCCCCATGTTCATAGAAATAAGACTCAGACTCAAAATACATTTACAAATAATCTGATCAAATAGCTACACTATTCTATGACTAGATATAACTTAAAATATCTCATTTATTTTAACCTACATTTTGCCCTGTAGCTGGTTACTAGTATTCAGGTACTATGTGTTTATCTCATCACAACTTCCCAGCAAATCTTCCAATGGGCTCTAGCCCAAATTCCATTCTAGTTTTCTGAGGAACCTCCACAGTGATTTCCAGAGTGGTTATACCAGTTTACAATCTCACCACCAATAGAAGACCAGCAATCTCAACTAACCAGGAACCCTGAGACCTCTCAGACACTGAGCTACCAACCAGGGTGCATTAAAAAAAAAAG